CCACGCCTACCTTCGGCGCGCCCTTCCTGGGGCGTGCGGCCTCAGCTAAAGAGTGAAAATTTTGGTGACTACCTATTGTCAGTAGACGAAGTAGTGTGAATGTAGTGAAGGGGACAAGTACACGATGCAGCGTCTTGATTGATGAAGTACAAAAGATACTTGAAATGTATCAGTTTTTTAACCGATTATTGTGATTAATTCGGCATTTTGCGGAAGCATTTGCGTGGAAGTGGCCACAACCGTAAATAAAATGTACCAACATCATATTCGTAATGTTGAACTTTGTTTTAGGTGCCAATTACAATGACGAGTGTTTGAAACGAACACAAATGAGGAACAAGACCAAAACAGAAGTGACTTAAGTGTTTCAAGAATTCAAATTCACGGCGGCAATGATTTAATTCCGTGCGTTTTAGATATAAGCCGACTGCACACCAATGCATTGCTTGCCACATACATATGTGTATTTCGGTACCTTTTGCACTTGTGCTTCAAAACTGTTGGAGAAAACGTCCCAACAATGAATTGCTTTTCCAGGAAATCAATTTCACCCATTGAGGTTCTTGCCTCAGTCACCCGCGACTCGAACACTTTTCTAGACATGTTGGGACAAATCCCAAGGTGTTTAATACAAGTACTCAGCACCGTTATTTGACTACGCCTGGGCGCTGCTTGACGAGAGTGAGTAACACTGTGTTCTGCATCATCACTAGTCAAATTTAGGTGGTAACTAGGTCGGTTTGTGGTGCATGTGATCTGCTGGGGGTGGATCCAGAAGTGACCTGGAAAGATAAACGCTGCTTTTCACAGGGCTAAGGTGATGCTTTCTGTAAAATATAAAAGCAATGTATGTAAAAATGTGTGCTATTTGTAATGTAAAAATGCGAAATCACCAACACAGCTGCACATACAAGTAGCACATCACCACACCACAGGGCACGATCCTCCCAGGACACCTGATTGCGTCATTTCTGTTTGATGTTGCTGCAGTTCTCACCAAAGAACATGGTCTTTAAAGGAAACTATGACCGTTAACAAACTCCGGTAATGGATCCAGCCCCGCAAATGGAGAGCATTGCTTAGCCAATCGCGGAAATTGGAGTGGTTACACACATGAGTAACGTTTAGATGGAAAACCTCGAGCAAATGCATAACTGACTCCGTAATTTGGCACTCCTGTGTTGATTGCATACAACAGCAGCCAGTGGTGGAATTCATAAAATATTTGTCGGCAAAAAAGCAAACATAAATCGCCGACTCATTCTTGATCGCACAGATATACCAGACCCGATATCAGCATTCAAGACCAGATCCGATATGCTCTGGTTTTATTCCCCCTTATGGAATAAAATGTGAAGGAACCAACATTGCCAATCCAAACCGGTGCCCGCAACGGACATTCGCTCGGTGCACTTCCGTCCGACGGATGGCGAGAATTCTCGGCGAGAATATAAACTTTTTGTTGATGTTCCTAAGCGATATGGCACAGACTACTGGCTGGTCGTTTGATATACCGTATGTGCGAATAACGTTGAACAATGCGATTTTAATCCCACTTCTCCCTTCTGAGCGTACCATTAACAAATATTCAAAAGCGCTTTTGTGCAAAGAGAATACATTACGACACAAAGTAAGCCAACAGAGCTAGAGTCGCCGAGAGAGCTTTTTGAGCGCCTCAGTAGTATATTTTCTCAGGGAAGAGTATGATTTCCCGAATTGCATAATATTTTAATGAAATCCATGAACTAGTCCGCATGATTTGAAGAACTCTACTGGATGATGATGTATAACTAGGAAAAGCGGCAAACCAAAATAAGACATTAGAATGGCTACATTCGCTCAGAGTGATCAATGATCATCAAAGAAAGAAGAGGCCTTAAGAATCCATCAAAACCAGTTAGACGACATGCACGGTGTGGAACGAGCCAGGTGGTTGCAAATGATTACACGCGATATGGGGAAAATGACCTTTGGTTCTTAGCTGTTCGGCGTTTTAAGTTCTCTCTCCTTATGCTGAGTCAACGACCTTCAATACACCAGGAGGTACCGGTTAAACGATGTTGCAGTGCTAAACGATGGCATTTCTGAATATCTCTAGCTGCGCCCAGCCTCAACATCATGCACATGATACCTAAGCACATAGGAATATATCTATGCGTTTTTGGGATCACTTACAAGAGTTATCGATACAGACTACGTGTCTTGCAGATGTGCTCTATAAACAAATAGGCTTGCAAATGGAACTCTCGCCCTTTTATATAACCAGTTCCTAAAACTGGCTATCATTGAGCTTAACCAGGTGCCAGGAGTCACCACTTCGGGCATCAAAACTGGTGAAGAGTTCCGAGAGGCGAAGATGCTTGACGTGGATAACAGTCAGAGCGACCTGAGCTTAATCTCACAGCAATTCTAACAGACTGACTCATTTGTGTAGGTCGTAGCCGGCTGTATTTGAGGGCGGTTTCGAAAAAAGTGTCACGTGCCGCTTTCCTGCCCTTATTGGAGTACCTGGCCACTGCTGGCCACTGCCAGTGGCGGTGTTTAAATCGCTGCATATTCACATTATGGAGTTTGCGCCAAGCGTTTACCTGCTCTGGCTGTTGACGCCTAGCACCAATCGTCATAACTCTCCAAAACCGTTGGGTGCCATGTTAGTATACGAGCACGCGTTAAGAGATCCATACGTCGGCCACTACGTCTGCCAACATCATTTCGTGCACTCTCCTTCCGTGAAATGGGAGCTGTGGTTGTGCACAAATGGCTTTGTGCGACTGCGAAGCCGGGCAGTCGCGATTTAGACCCAGTATTTGTTCGTGCCGCGCTGCCCTTTTCGATTATATAAATTCAACACCTCTCATTTGACCAAATGTGGGGATAGAATTCTAATGACTACGATGCTGAATAATCGCTTGGCTAGACGACTTACAGGTGAATAGTTTGAAAATGTAAATACATAGCTAAATCTCTTCTTTTGAGCTGAGGAACTAAAACAAACCTGATGCTCGGTTTGCAGCCGTACTCGTAACGAAAAACGTATTGACATGACAGGAGGAAGAGATATGATGAATGAAACGAAACAAAATGAAATGTAATGCATGAAATGACACAGAATGCTTGAGTGGACTGAGCGAGATGAAAGGAACCAAATAAATTAAAAGAATCGGCAGAGGGCGGCTGACTCAGCTGTGTCCTATTAATTGTGGTTCCAACAGGCGATTCCTTTTTTGAGGACGATGTCTTGACCCGGTTCGGTACGGTACGATACGGTATATGTATATATATATATATATATATATATATATATATATATATATATTATACAAATATATCCCTGATACGTGTCTGGCTTGTTTTTGATTTATCTATGGTTATCTATGGTATGGTTTATCGATCTATCTATTTGGCTATGTTTTTGGTTGATTACATGTTATTGGTTTTTGGTTTACCACAATCATTTTTCATCTTACGTTTGTAATTTCCAAACATTCCGGCATATTCAAACTAACATGAATTGGTGTCATCGTTGAGCAGCGTGCATCTCCTAAGGTGTGGCAAGGTTATCCTTGTTTGCGAGGTTACCCCGAATCCCCCTGACGAGCGACAGTAACAGACAGGGGGATCCAGCCGACAGTAACAGACAGGGGTGGATCCAGGATTTCGTCAAGCAAGGGCCACGCTTCGCTGTTGTGCCCCTGGAACGTGGTACCCCTCACGAAAACCCGGTTTCGGCCATTTCGTTTGGGATTATTATCTTTTAATCGGCCACCTGACTTGCGCCGGAATGGTTCGCCGTGTTTATTCCACGTTGTTTCAAGACGCCGAATTTTCGTCTTTTCCGTTTTATGTTCAGCTTTGACAGAAAGATATGCCAAAGACTAGCAAAATACAATCTAACATGCATTAAGAAGAAAATGAAATAAACGAGTACACCGTCCAAGCCGCGGGTGCTATGCAACCAACAATAGTGCATTTTAACGATACTGGTTTCTCGGGGTCTTACAAATATATTGAGGGGCCGGTGGACCGAATGCCAGCGTAAATTACAGATAACATGACACACACACACACACACACAGAAAGAGAGAGAGACAGAGAGAGAGAGAGAGAGAGAGAGAGAGAGAGAGAGAGAGAGAGAGAGAGAGAGAGAGAGAGAGAGAGAGAGAGAGAGAGAGAGAGAGAGAGAGAGAGAGAGAGAGAGAGAGAGAGAGAGAGAGAGAGAGAGAGAGAGAGAGAGAGATAGAGAGAGAGAGAGAGAGAGAGAGAGAGAGAGAGAGAGAGAGTATATATATATATTATATATATATATATATATATATATATATATTATATATATTTATGACATGACATATATGATATGATATATAGGTTAACCTGGGGAAGCTCATCATCTCTCTAGAATCTATCGGCGAAAGCTTATATAAAATAGTTTTCATCCGCGCTTGCAGTCTAGAAGAAATAACACCGGCGTCCGGGGGTGCAGTCTCCGCGGCCCACGACGCGTCAGCCTCGCAGCTAACACCAAGGAAGGTCTACGGGCGGGAAAGAACGACCATGTGTCGCATAGTGGCACTTTCGAACGCTTTATAAAACTAATTGGTTTGCGCGTAGAAGGTATCTCGAGCCATAGGTTTCACTTGTGCGATATTCACATTGACGCTCGGGACGGATTAGCGCGCACAGCAATGCAAACTCATGGCGCAAGGGAATAATGGTTCATGTTGTTGTAGCCGCTAGTCCCGTCTAAAGAATCAACTTCGACATTGCACAGGTTAAGTTTTCTGGCCAGGAGCTGAAGGGCATTCCGCCCCAGCCCAGCGGGTGCCGTTCTGGCGATACGGGGACAGAGCCCTCCAGATCGATACGGAGGTCCTCTGTTGGACGTCTGGCACTGGATCGATGCAGGGGCTCTCACTGTTTCAAAAGGATTTCTTCCAGTCGCAGGAGAGTCAAATAATTGGCACAGAGACACCAATTCAGTTAATGGTCGGCTTGAAACGGTGCTTGGGACCCCTCGTTTGGCGCTGGGGCCTCTGACTGACACAGGGCCTTTCCACTGCTTTACTGTAAATGTGAGCCCTTGCGTCGCCACTCCTCTTATTTCCTCTTATTGCCAGGAAGGCCCAAACAACGCAAGAGGCCGTTTGACATCCGCGGTTTCATCCCTGCCCCTAATCAGTAAATACGCCCCTTGCCAACCTAGGGCTCATTGCCGACACGGCATCCCCAGTTTGGCGCTGTCGGCCTCTGACCAGCACAAGGGCCCTTCACTATTTCAGGGGCCCTGACTTATGCAAGAGACCTTCCGACTAACATGTTCAGGTTTAGCCCTGCCTCTGCATGTGAACAGGACCCTGTAGGGCGCAAACCGGAATGTAACCGACCATTTAGACCGTTCGGTACTAGCAGTGTTAACCAGCTGTCTGGCAGGCAGCTGATTAACAACACTAGTACCCGTGGTAGAGGCCGCCACTGTCTTATGGGGCCCCGATCGGTGTTGCCCTTCACGCTCTCCAATCCGGCCCTTGAACGTCGGACCCGGGTGGGTCTATTTGTGGTTGCTTGGAATTCGTCGCCTCTTTAGAACATTTTTGGATCCCTCTGAG